GGGGTAGTGGTAACCTGGGTCGTTGCCATATATATCATAAAGATGTCAATCATCATCGACCCGCCGGGGGTTCGATTCCCCCTTAATGCATCCGATGGCATTTCAATTCTATTTTTCCTTACAAGACTATGCATGGTCGGTCATGTCCGATGATTGTCTGAGTTCCATCCTTCGTCAGGTTCAAAATCTAACTAGGATGATATAAGGAACACGCTCACGCACGTGACACGACACGATCGGTCACGGTCTCTGTCACCGATCACCGCATCATTGATCATTGCGCTTTTTGGAGTCTTCAACCTGCATAAAACTCCTCCAACTCTAGGTCGTCTTTGCTCGCTCTGTACACCCTGGGCTGTAAAGCATTAATGGAGTAGTGGTAACCTGGGTCGTTGCCATTGTTGGAGTGAACTGCAGTCTTTCTCGACCCGCCGGGGGCTCGATCCCTCTTGATGCATATACCTGTTTTGAGACCTCTTTTTAGGTTGATGCGCATATCTAAGCTCCTTTGGCTGGCCCACTGGGTTGCTAACGTGTGCTTCGCTCACGCGCACGATTTACCATGATGCACAAAGTCTGTTAATCACTTCACTATCTTAGGTATATGTATGGTTCACTTTCGCTAACCCATTTTCAGCCATTTTCAGCCCAACTCGAAGTGCATATGCGCAACGCGTACGGTATGTGTAATCTAATGACTTCAATCATTTCGAGGCAAGTCGATCGACCTTCCTTAGCTAAGGATCGGTCACCTCGAAAGGCTGCTGCTTCATGACGATGCCTCTCGCTCGAAAGTTCACCCACATCCCCTTCTAGTCGCTTACACTCATCCTTCAAAGCTACACCTTCAGGCATTAATGGGGTAGTGGTAACCTGGGTCGTTGCCATCAGTGATTCGAGCGTATGCGCCTTTCTCGACCCGCCGGGGGTTCGATTCCCCCTTAATGCACTAACGAAGCTATGCTGCATGAATTTTTCCAGGCTAAAGCCTGTGGGATGTAGCACTTAAGCTGCAGCTATAGCAGATTGTCGAGTCGAAAGGATCGCGATGACTGGCTAGAGTTCGCTTTTGGATTTGGAGTTGGATTTGGATTTGCTGGGAACCTCACGACATCAACACACACAACGTTCGAGGAACGATAAATTCCAGTATATACTGCATGTATTGCCATTCACTACCTACTTACATAGGATCGGTATACGTCTACACACATGGAGAGATGTGTAAGGTACATGTACATGTACATGCACACAAAGCTTTCGCAACAACGTAAAAGGG